TGCCAGTATAACAGGCCTGAGCAAGCATCTGGTCTGGTGGCTTGATTGCGTGGATGCATTGGTACGATAATTGAAGTCAAGTGCCCATACAAATATAGGAGTGATGAATTAAGTGTTGTTTTTGAAAATGAAAGCCTTCATAATATTTACATGATGACACAGTACAACCACAATCAACACCAGTCACATTTATTACCACCAGATTCAGGGTGAACTACATTTATGCAATAGGCAATCATGCTATCTAGTTGTTTGGACCCCTTTGGAAATCCAAATTATAGAGGTTGAAAAGGACCTAGACTAAAACCCAGAAAATATTCAAACATTAAAACACTTTTATATTAATAAATTCATACCTTATATTTTAAAAATAAATAATTTTAAACCACTGGTGTTTTATTTGTTCTATGAACCATCTTCATTCTACAAATTGTAAGTATATTAACAACTAAAACATACATATCTAATATAACTTATAATCTTACAACTTACAATTTTTAAACATTTTCTTTAAATCTTACCAGTTAAAACTACTATTTTAGTAAGTATAATTATTTAGAAAAGTTAACGTTACATATACTTATCTCCTTTTTAACAATAACAACTTAGTTTAAATAAGTAACAAATAACAAGTATACAACAACAAAGTACAAAAATATTAAATATAAAATAATTTATTATGGCGTAAGCCATTAAAAGAATAATACATATTTAAAGCAAGTCATTTGCATCATAATACTTTTCCATTCTTTAATTAAGGGGTACTGAAAGGATATAGCCCCTATGACTTGCAATATAAAATTTCCATGTTGAATGTACTGTTGTGGAAGATATCTTAAAATCTTATAACATTTTATGCGTTGAATGGCCCTCTCAACATGAATTCTTGCCCTTGCTATAGATTCTGTCTGATATACTTGTTCCGGCGTAAATTGTGTGGTTGTTAGAAATGGAGGAATATTAAGATGTACACCAGGAGGCAGAATATCTTTTAACAAAAAACCTTTGTCCGCCAAAATCAAATCTCCTGGCTCCAATATTTCTAGAATCTTAGAATCCTCTACAATTTTCTTGTCTGATGTAGAGCCTGGATATAAATCACTAACAAATGTAACAACACCATTTGGAGCGACACCTATTAAAGCCTTCCATGTGTTGTTGTGTTTATAACTGCTATATGTCATTCTTTGTGTTTTCATAGATGTTCTACATGTAATTCTCTTATTTTTTTTATTTGGTATATTTTTCATGAGTTGTTTGAAAAGAATAGCATGTAATACATGTATCCAAGTAATCTTTGTGCAAGATCGATATGTGGAAAATTATGTCTGTCATTAACAACTGATCGATTTTTCTAACTTTTCTACTTTTCAATTAAAATAATAATTTATCTCAATGTCCTTAAGTAAATTAAAAGGGCCATAAAAATATCTGAATTTGGTAATCCAGTATACAACAACACAAGTTCCTCATTATCTTTAATATGGTCAAATGAAAATCTTATAGACAAAATTTGAACTTAAGTTTCAATTCATCATTTTCTTTCCTTAATAAATCATTTTCTGCTTCCAACATAGCAGAACTAGTTGATCCTGATGTTGCAGGATGAAATTTTACCTGTCTTGTGGTAATGGTCTCGTTTCTTCATTAGCCAAGTTCAACTTTTACATATTTATTATTATTAGTTTCGGATTCCTCACGAAAAAATTATTTTAAGAAATGAAGAGAAGAAATTAGTGACAAATATTGTTCTTACAAAACATTAGGTGATAATCCTGATGTTGATGGCATATTTAAATCTAAATGCAAAACATCTTCGAAACATTTTCGTTTGCGACCTCATTTTTTCTGGAGTAGTCCAAATAATTTTTTCGTTCTGTTATATAAGAACAATTCTGGTCCATCTTCCTTGTTACCCTCACGAAAGTGGCAACTGCACAAATATGCCCCGGGACCAGGCTCAATGGTACGCCTACCAAATGATCATATTAAAAAATAGGTTTTCAACATTATATATCACCTCACACCTCGTAAGTTTCTTCCATTTGTTCCTTTCTTTTCCTTCCTTCGGGAACTTGAAAAAGTTACACTTCTCCCTTACGTTGTAATGTTTACAATCGGGTGCCCAACACATCATCATTTTTTATACACTAAAATTATATAGATATTTGCAAGTAAAAAATCTTAATCTAAGCCGCTGTAAGTTTTATCGTAAAAACTGAATAATAAACACCAAAAACCAGCAAAGCAGTTAAAATATCTTAGAGGTCATTGTATTAGGTTATATCACAACAAAAAACAACCAATATTTAGCTGATTTGTAGGGATATCAACCTTTTATGTAATTATACGTATAGTAAATGCTTATATACTTACTCAGAAAGACACAAATATCCTTTGAACAGAGTAATATAACAAAAAAAAATAAGGAAAATTTTTTTTTTTTAAAGTTTTACCATTTTGGTAAAGTTGTTTTGATTTCTTTATGTCCGATAATTCTTTGGTATACGCACCTTTAGTGTGACGTCATATAGCGGAAGGTCAGTGTCGCAAAATCCAAACAAAGCAAGAATATAATGGGATAATCTAATTTTTCCTTATTTTTTTTTGTTATATTACTCTGTTCAAAGGATATTTATGTCTTTCTGAGTAAGTATATAAGCATTTACTATACGTATAATTACATAAAAGGTTGATATCCCTACAAATCAGCTAAATATTGGTTGTTTTTTGTTGTGATATAACCTAATACAATGACCTCTAAGATATTTTAACTGCTTTGCTGGTTTTTGGTGTTTATTATTCAGTTTTTACGATAAAACTTACAGCGGCTTAGATTAAGATTTTTTTACTTACCATAAATATCTACTATATAATTTTAGTGTATAAAAAATGATGATGTGTTGGGCACCCGATTGTAAACATTACAACGTAAGGGAGAAGTGTAACTTTTTCAAGTTCCCGAAGGAAGGAAAAGAAAGGAACAAATGGAAGAAACTTACGAGGTGTGAGGTGATATATAATGTTGAAAACCTATTTTTTTATTATGATCATTTGGTAGGCGTACCATTGAGCCTGGTCCCGGGGCATATTTGTGCAGTTGCCACTTTCGTGAGGGTAACAAGGAAGATGGACCAGAATTGTTCTTATATAACAGAACGAAAAAAATTATTTGGACTACTCCAGAAAAAGTAAGTCGCAAACGAAAAAATGTTTCAGAAGATGTTTTGCATTTAGATTTAAATATGCCATCAACATCAGGATTATCACCTAATGTTTTGTAAGAACTAATATTTATTCACTAATTTCTTCTCGTTCATTTCTTAAAATAATTTTTTTTCAGTGAGGAATCCGAAACTAATAATAATAAAATATGTAAAAATTTGAACTTGGCTTGTGAAGAAACAGAGATCATTGCAAGACAGGTAAAATTTCATCCTGCAACATCAGGATCAACTAGTTCTGCTATGTTGGAAGCAGAAAATGATTTATTAAGGAAAGAAAATGATGAATTAAAACTTAGGATTCAAATTTTGTCTATAAGATTTTCATTTGACCATATTAAAGATAATGAGGAACTTGTGTTGTTGTATACTGGATTACCAAATTCAGATATTTTTATGGCCCTTTTAATTTACTTAAGGACATTGAGATAAATTATTATTTTAATTGGAAAGTAGAGAAAGTTAGAAAAATCGATCAGTTGTTAATGTGCTTAATGAAACTTAGACATAATTTTCCACATATCGATCTTGCACAAAGATTACTTGGATACATGTATTACATGCTATTCTTTTCAAACAACTCATGAAAAATATACCAAATAGAAACAAAAATAAGACTTGTTTGCACTAACTGCCGTATGATATTAGATTGTACAGAGATGTCTACCTTTACATGTAGAACATCTATGAAAACACAAAGAATGACATATAGCAGTTATAAACACAACAACACATGGAAGGCTTTAATAGGTGTCGCTCCAAATGGTGTTGTTACATTTGTTAGTGATTTATATCCAGGCTCTACATCAGACAAGAAAATTGTAGAGGATTCTAAGATTCTAGAAATATTGGAGCCAGGAGATTTGATTTTGGCGGACAAAGGTTTTTTGTTAAAAGATATTCTGCCTCCTGGTGTACATCTTAATATTCCTCCATTTCTAACAACCACACAATTTACGCCGGAACAAGTATATCAGACAGAATCTATAGCAAGGGCAAGAATTCATGTTGAGAGGGCCATTCAACGCATAAAATGTTATAAGATTTTAAGATATCTTCCACAACAGTACATTCAACATGGAAATTTTATATTGCAAGTCATAGGGGCCCTATCCTCCTTTCAGTACCCCGTAATTAAAGAAGTGGAAAAGTATTATGATGCAAATGACTTGCTTTAAATATGTATTATTCTTTTAATGGCTTACGCCATAATAAATTATTTTTTATATTTAATATATTTTTGTACTTTGTTGTTGTATACTTGTTATTTGTTACTTATTTAAACTAAGTTGTTATTGTTATTAAAGGAAATTGAAGTATATGTAACGTTGACTTTTTCTAAAATAATTATACTTACTAAAATAGTAGTTTTAACTGGTAAGATTTAAAGAAAATGTTTTAAAAAAATTGTAAGTTGTAAGATTATAAAGTTGTTTACTGTTATATTAGATATGTATGTTTTAGTTGTTAATATACTTACAATTTGTAGAATGAAGATGGTTCATAGAACAAATAAAACACCAGTGGTTTTAAAATTATTTATTTTTTAAAATATAAGGTATGAATTTATTAATATAAAAGTGTTTTAATGTTTGAATATTTTGGGCCCACTCTGGGTCCTTTTCAACCTCTATAATTTGGATTTCCAAAGGGGTCCAAACAACTAGATAGCATGATTGCCTATTGCATAAATGTAGTTCACCCTGAATCTGGTGGTAATAAATGTGACTGGTGTTGATTGTGGTTGTATTACTGTCATCAATATAAATAATGTATGACTTGTCATTTTTCAAAACAACACTTAATTCATCACTCCTATATTTGTATGGGCACTTGACTTCAATTAATTTGTCATTGCCTATTAGGCCGTCTGGGGAAGGACCTAAAATTCCACACGAATCAAGCCACAGACCAGTGCTTTCTACGCTCAGGCCTGTTGCTAGAGAAAATGATTCTAACGCAGTCTTCTCATGCTGCAGTCCCCATTGGACAGCCTTTACTCCTCCTATATTATAACCGTCTAATAAGCTTTTAAAAAATGATTTTGTGTACTTATCCTTATAGCAAGCGCCCAAAACCGTTCCAAACTTGCTAGCAGTAAGGCGATGCTTTCTAGCCAGTAACCAGTTGGGATTTGATGCCTGGCCCTTCGTCATCAAAACTACATCGTCCCTCAATGCATCGCTAATGGCACATTTCTCTTTAAAAATTGTCATTTTGTCGTCTGCTTCTAGATATTCTGCAGAAAGAAAAATTTCCTCTATCTGCGGTAAAATGAATGCAGCAGCAATTGGTTCTGGCTGAAAGAGCCACGAAAATCCAACCGAATGCCCTGCTAGATCTTCCTGAAAGTGTTTCAGCTCTGGTTCATTAGGAAGCCTTCTCACTGGCTCATAGTCAGGTTTGGACAATGGGTAAATGGGTCCTGCAATTTCTTTAGTGGCTCTCTCTTGGACGAAGGTCCTGGAACACTCCAAGTGCAGGCTTGATCAGTACTGCTAACGTTGTGGTATGCATACATGCATAAAGCAGCCATATGATGGCAAACCACCTGTCCTCTTGGACAGCTGCATATGGCATCAGTAATAGTGCCCTGATCGAAATCGATGGATACTTAACATATACAGCAAAAATTAATTTATGTACCTATTTATTAACTTAAATTTTATTATATACCTCAACATCATACTTCCTATTTTTCATGCTGGCTTCCACTTTACCCTTAAACCGGGCTGGACGCAGATCGCCCTCAAAGTTAAATTGCACAACATGTCCACTTCCGTACGCATTTTCACCCCGTTCGAATTGCTTTGCATGATCCTTAAAAAATGCCATAATAACACTCATCGAAACGACGTGCTTCGTAGCCATCATTCTATAATGTTAAATATAAATTTAAGTAATTATTTGATTAGTGTATTCTCTATACACTAATCGAATAATTACTTAAATTTATATTTTTAAACCAAAAAGAACACGAATTTCCATAGTATTATAGAATTTATTCACTATAAAGTGTACTGGTACGGTTCAAAATTAAATGTACTTACTTGGGAAAATACAATTATCCTTAAGAAAACAGTAATATAATAATAAACGAGAAAAAAACGGATTAACCCACTATATTCACGCTTTGTTTAGATTTTGCGACACTGAACTTCCGCAACACGACGTCACCACTAATGGAGCGTATTCTTTTGAATATTAGATCTTTTCGTTTTTTTGTATGAGAGTTCTTTTTTCTGCTTTTTCTTTAACCTTTCAGTCTTACGTTTGTCCTTTTCTGCCTCTACTTCTTTTTTCAATGCTATTTTTTTCTTTATTGCTTTTTTCTAACTGAGGAAGTTAGTACAAAGGGTAGCTTTTCTGTCTCCCTTTTTCCTTTTCTTTCAGGGGTCTTGGGCCAAATGACGTAATCGCTGAGTGATGAAGTATTTAATACGTCGGATTCTTTAGTAGAAAATGAAGTGTTGGGAATTGGTCCGTTAAACTCAGTAATGGGTGAAGTGCTGGGTATTTGATTATCAAACTCGATATTTTGGTCTATGACAATAGGAATATTTTCAATATCAAATATTTCTTCATTTTGATCATCAAATTCCCGCAAACTCAAGGTCTCATTCTTCGGATCGTCAGAGTGGTCGTCGGTACTTTCAAGATTTATTTTTTCGGGTTGGTACATACATTCAGGTTCATTTGCCTTCAAAAACTCCTTGTAGAGATAAAATAGTGTCAAAAAATCTTCAGTGTGGACATCATCTTCCTAAAAGTTGTTAAGCATTTCCATTTTTTCTCATCAACAATTTTCTGTAATGTTTCAAAGGAAATGTTCTTCTCTCTTTTGTGATCTTCCGTATAAT